CTTTTGAAAAGAAAACGTCCGTAGGCCGCCGTACATGATTTTTATTCTATGTGTGGAATCACTGGAGATTATTTGTCATTAGGCTTGAAAAAACTGGGGAGCATACAACACTCCTGAGGACAATGTTGTCCAATTGCGTTTGTGAAATTAAAAATGCTTAAGTACCGCACTTAGCAAACAGATCACAGCATCGTTGACATAATCGCATCGGACTCAAATCGGACACAAAAACGGGCAAATAAAAAGAAAAGATATAACTTTGGAGCGTGCTGGTGTCAGTAATGGGGGACTAGTTTTTCAGCCACACCGGCTCACACGCTGTGTCAAGTCTGTGGAAATGTCTTTGACTGAACCAAACAGTCCTGTTCAGTTCCGCTTTCCGTAAGTGGCTGATGAATTACACTTCCCTCTTTGGTATAAAATGCTCCTTCACGTCACACTTCCACATCCTTGTGATTGGTGTCAAAAGAAAATGCACCCGATTGAACCAGGAAAACAACGACGCCCGGCATAGACTGCCGACACACAAACCGGTATAAATGCTCAACCAATTCGGTAGTTTTCATCCCAGTTAAAAATATCCATGCGAATACTTTCATTATGGTTAAAAATTATGGATTAGAAAGTAGCGGCCTCATATGAGCTATCCTTGATTTACTCAATCACTGATTGATCTGCTTCACTGTTGACGTTAGCTCATACCTTGAGTAGAACGGGAGGGAGAAGCTTAGGACGGAAATTTTTGTGCGCTTAACTTGTCTGAGTTGTCTTTAAACTAAACCAAATATTTAACTGAATAAATCAGGGGCACGCAGTCAACGTAGTTCTTCTCTGAGGGAATTTCGAGAATTCGAAGTTCATCAGATTTAAGGAAAACAGTAGTGAGAAAACTTACTAGGTAATGGATGTGTGGAACACTAGGAATATGTACTGAACCTCGCATGGGGGACTCTTCCAAGTATACCACAACAACTTCAAACATTCTGAGATAATGAGTGAAACCAGCGCGTACATGAAGCGTATTGCGCAACCCCCAGAGACGCACTTTTAAAGGAAGCCATTAACCTGTGGGGGTTATGATAGTCCTCCTAGCTACTCGCTAGTTGCAGTAATTCTCCCTAAGAGACGCGTTGTGGCGTTTTTCGGGGGCGGAGATCAGGCTTCTTAGATGGGGTTGAGTGCACGATTTCATCCTTGGTCTGCGAATTCTGAAAACGAGTGGGTTGTCTCAAGATGCACCTCCCTTGAACGCGTCCAATATAGTATGATAATTCCTTCCAAACATAGTTTGCTTCAGGAAAAGTTCCAAAGCTCTAGTTCACCATAATATGCTCTCTTTTATTGAACTACTCTATATTGGCGAGGCTTGGTGTGAAATTATCTCACAAATGAGAACTATAGCTCTAGTTCAATATGCTCTCTTTTATTGAACTACTCTATATTGGCGAGGCTTGGTGTGAAATTATCTCACAGATGAGAACTATATTCTCAGCAGTGACAGGGGTGTCTTCCTTCCGAAGGCAATTCCAGTAGTTACTGCCATATTGAACATTTGAAACTAAGATAATGTCAAGTTTCCCATAAACTAGAATTCTCACAGTAGTCTACTTCCTTCTTGTTCAAGGTCAATGAATGCTTCCTAAGAATCGTGGCAACCGTTTTAGGCATCCAACTGACTCAAAACGATCTTGAACGGAGTAAAACAATCTTGAGGCCGGAAATAAAAGGTCAGGTCTATGGTGACAGTGAAGAGGATTCAGCGGGATCACAGAAGACGGTTGAGGATGCATCCACATCATGTACCCTACTTTGAAAAGGAGCTGGAAAACCATTCTGTACCGTTTTGTACCCCCTACTCGTTACCATTTCCCCATGCGTTCATTGTGATACTTAGATTGCCGACTGACTTCTGCCTCATTGAATCTCTGACTGATATGATGTTGCCAACTAGGTTTTCTTGTCAACCGTCGTTCTGCGTGTTACCACAAGATATGTATGAAAAGATATCTACTGTACTGTCCTCGTCATCAAGTTAAGCTGTCTTATACTTACTGAGGCTAATTTTATGCGTGAAACAGACGAACATTCCTAAAATGCCCGATAAGATAATACTGTAGTCATTTTTCAGGGTGAAAATAATTTCCATTATTTGGACCTCTGAATCAGCTCAGTTACGCTCAAAAGATTTACCTAACATAGCCAATCAGCTTACTTAGAAATGCTGTTGGATTCTGGTAACTTTTGTCACGCATCAAGGGAAAAACAGCCCTTCCTACTGACTGTTGAGGGTTAAAAAGAAAGTAGCTTTTGACCTCTTCCGGGGCTGACCTTTATTTACGAACAGTAGTCCTTCAACAAAGGTCACTCCTTTTGGCAGGCCACGGTAAGTTCCACCTTCAGTCATCATTTCATATAAGAATAAGACACTTGTTGTTGATAAGACACTTGTTGTAGATTTAATAAACCACTTGTTTCATAGTGTTCTCTCTTCTGTGGGAGTATTGTCAATCACGGTTGGCGAAAACACTCTTCTGGTCACTCAAGATCAGCACACAATCGACTGCTGTGAGTCAGGTTGCAACCACCTTCAACTAAAGTGTGTAGTCAGTAAAGACGATTGAAATTCCGCCAACCTGGAGGGATCCTAGCGAACTAACATAACGTAGACGTGATCATGCTATCATGCTGTCAAACTTGACAGCATACAAATCGTACGGTACAGTGTTGATTCGAATTTGTAAATCTGCCATTTTCAGCCCGTGTTCAGACTTGTTCATGCGTCAGCTTGTCCCAGTTGCCTGTCAGTTTTCTCTCTCGCATATAAACAGGTGATGCATGACACCTGATGAGTTCAAATTCAGGGTCCGAAAGAGTTGTCCGTTCGAATGTGATTCGCTATATGTTACCACACCACCACAAGAACGACCATCTCGTCCCTTTGAGCCGGAAAAAACTCTGCACAAAAGTATCTTCTTAATAGGCACAAATACCGACGGGAAGTTATCCGACCTTTCCCCTTAGTTGCTTTAAAGAAGCTGGCAAATACTCTTGTACTTAGCCTTGAACCTCAATTCAATGAAGATCTGAGTATTTTGGAAGAACGTTTGGTGAATTGTGATGATGCCAGTATATGCTACTGACTCAGACAATGATGAAGATTCTGTGTCTGTATTTGGTAGGATGTAACGACTCGTTTTCAAATATAAAGGCTGTTGCAACGGGACTGCACTCCTTTCAGCAGATAAATGGGTCGCATTCATACAATAAAACGCTTAATTGCTTGCTAACGGTCACTACGTTTGCGCGAAATATGTTTGATACCAAGGAGCGTGGATCAGAAAGCGGCACACACCCGAACACTAGCGCGTATTTGGATCGGGTAACCATTCTGTCATTTGTTCTTAAGATCTCGAGCCGGAGGGGGTGGGGATATATAGCGAAAATCTTTGGCTGTATCAGGGTGATTTGAGATCCAATGCGAGTGTGTGGAGAAGGATGCTGAATGTTTCTATGGAAAACCTTGTGTCCCGCATGAAGATATATTTAGAGCAACAAGATGGTTTTCTCGATCCCGATGGCACAATTCGATTTTGCCCAGTTGACGGTCCAGACGAATTATTCCATAAAAGAGAACAATAGAAAAATCCAGAGTAATGTGATTGCTTAGTTGAGCTATATTCAAACACTGAGTTACATGCGTGTCCCAACAGTCGGTGAGAGGAGCCGCAAGTCTATTCATGAAAAAAGTTCGGTGGCTATTTTAAACTACTGAATAAAACAAAGTAACTACATTTGAACATTGTTAAAGACCGGAGCCGCATTTTTTTCGACTGCTTCGAAGCGTGGGCTTTGATTCCCTACTGAACCCGGAGAAACTAGTTGACTGAAATGTTCAACCAAGAAATATGCGGAACGGGTGGGTGTATTTCGCCGGTGTATTGTCTGGGGCGGCTGATACCACTTGTATGGTCAAGTGCAAGGACGGGTTGATGTCTCCACTGTAGGACTGCTAGCTTCATGGAGTCGTGGTTTAGCCGAATACTCAGAGAAAACTCTGAGATCAGCCATAACTAAACAAACCGTGCAAGACAAGGTAGTTCTTCGGTTGCAGAAAACCGCACGATTGACAAACACAGGGGGAACACACTATTGTAGTAGTATGTTAACGTTTCATTCAAAATCTTAAACCCTAAAAGTTATTAGAGATTTCTAGTTTGTAAGCGAGACGATTAAGCCAAGCTTGCTAGGCACTAAAGCACTTTGAGATGAAACGAAATACCTGGATGCATCAGCGGAGAGTTAAGCGCATTTTTGGCTGAAGGATGTCGTTACAAATGAAATCAGTTACTATAGAAGTGTTGCATAACTACAGTGGCGATACACAGGTGTCATTCGGACCCGAACGAGGGTTTTTGGGTACTTTGGAATGCCAGCACCAGTTTACCAGCTATCTGTCATCATTCGTTTTGGAAAAATTGTGGAAGTTCTCTTCTTTTCCCCAAAAATATCCGATCAATTAAGTCTTTTTCACACGCAGATGAACAAGAGCGATCGTGTTCAAGAAACATGTCCAAATTGGAGCATGTATTAAAACAGTCAAGAAACTGAATTGCTGATTGGTGGGTTCGAGCCTGATTACCGTCAAAATAACTTGAGTTACAAATTGGTCGTTGTGAACTAAAAAAAACAATAAACTATGTTTTTTCATGAAGGAAACTACTCACAATTTTGCTGAAAACTCTTCGACAGCCCACGACATAAGGTTGACGGAAACCCGGGGACTGGACATACCTGATGAGCCCCAAGAAGGGCGCAAACTTATGAATAGTTTTCTTTATGAAAATATACCGCGATATCTCGAATGTCGTGCCAACTGGACCATGCAGCGGCCTGTGTGCAGCAGATCCAGTTGTAGAATAGAATATCATAAACGAGAGATTCAATTGAGTCTCCCGTGAAAACCAAACTGATTTGCAATCGAGTGTATTTCTCGAAAACAGTCCGATTTGGGTTCAAGTGGAACATAAGGTTGACGGAAACTCGGGGACTGCGCTTACCTGATGAGCCCCAGGAATGGCGACACTGGTCGTGGGCTGTCGAACAGTTTTCAGCAACCTTGTGAGTAGTTTCCTTCACAAAAATCTACTGCGATACCTCGAATATCGTGCTAACTGAAACATGAGGCGGCCTGTGTGAAGCACATTCAGATGTAGAATATCATAAACGAGAGATTCGGTTGAGTCTCTCGGAAAAACCGGGTGGATTCGCAAGTGATTTTATTTATCGAATAACGTATGCTCTTACAAATGCCTCTTAGGTTTTTACTGTATCCTTACTGACACTGAGTAACTTACATTTCAACTAAAAGTTGCTTTTATGTGGTGGAGATAGAGGAGATCCTTTGGTACTCCTAATTCCTAGATCATTTCACATGTCTGTTTCTCACTCTTTCGTCATGATTGACGGAATCAGAGAATTTCGGCTGAAGTAACTTCCTCTAGTCGGAGCCGACCTGCGCTGAATAACGGAGACGCATTGTGCGTCTGATAGGCTTTTGACGAAGCTTCAGGGACTTTCTGCTCTGTAATCGTCGGGCCAGCATTTTGAACACAACCGTTTGGGCAAGCAAGGCTGATCAGAGGGGTGATGAAATCACCCTAAGATGGGATGTAGAGCCTATCATCTTCCAATCACGAAGTCCACATCACATGGTCACCTGTTGATTGTCACAGATGAAATTTTAACTCATCCTGTGAACTTTTTTTGAGCTACTTATAGACTGCTGTTAGTGTGACGAGATCTGAGAATTTCCCATTTTTCAAATTACCAACACTTGAGAATGAGTTGTGATACCGTTAATTTAACCTGATGTTAAGTTTATTCCCACTGGATAATGACAGCACAAGTTGGCAAGTACCAAGAGACCGTCTGACGACTGTTTTGACGTCACAGGCACATAAGAAATGAATGACCGAAGGCGGAACGTCCCAAATAACGGATCAATATGCACGTACGGGTGACTGACTGATTTGTTGTGATGTTTGTCTACTGTGATTAAACACGCATGGTGGCATGCATCTCAAAACGCAAGATAAACTGTCTGCTTTTACAACTAAATCACACTGTCAACCACCAAAATTCAGGTAGTGAAAGTGCACCAGTCAGTTCTCCTATTCATACCCGGTGGGCTTGGCCGACAATTTTCCGAACTCTGATTCCAACCATCATTGTCTGTCCGATTGTTATCCGACACAATGTAACATGATCGATGGATACCGGCACACATTTAGACTGACTATCAGGAAGAGGTCGGTTAATATTTTCATAAAGGAAACTACTCACAAGATTGCTGAAAACTCCTCGACAGCCCACGGCCGGATTCGCCCTTCTTGAGGCTCATCAGATAGGCGCAGTCTCCGAGTTTCCGTCAACCTTATGTTCTGCTTGTAGGTGTGAACAAAACAAGCTGCTGTGTCAATGATGCTGACCAATTTTCGGTTTATTTTGCTCTTCAGATACCTAGAAACATAAACTGAGATGCTATATCTAGCCACACATCTTAATGATCGTTCGGAAGACTGACTTGAATGCCCAAACTGACTGTTCTTCGCGAAATGAGCTGTGTTTCTAGCCGGTGCTTCATTCCACTTAAAACCATCCTTGATGCGACAGTCTAGATTCAACCGGGGATTTCTCTACTACGATCAACTGCTCTGTTTTCACCAAGGATAGCTCCCAATTCCGCACAACCCCATTGGCCTATTCCAGATAGTATTCACCTTATAGCAACCGGTGTGAAGGCAGATGAGAATGAAGCACAGATAACTTGATATGTTTTCCCACTAAACCAACAGCATACAGTGCCAACGCATGTGAAACTTCATTCACTTACAGACCTTAATTCGAATGCGCGTCGTTTATTTTGCACGACCTTCCAGGATATTTTACACTGCGAGTTGCTTCAAGAGTTACTCGTGCAATTTATTGGAGCCCTTTCATCCAGGAACCAGGATATGTGAATCCAACAGGATGGTGCGTCTCCACATTATGCCCAAATGACAAGCGAACTGTTAGACACCAACAGTCTAAATCTTTGTACTGGACGAGGTGGTCTAACTGAGTGGCTACCACGATATCCAGATTTGAGACCAATGGATTCTCTCTCTCTGTGGATGTCAGAAATCCATGTTTAGCCTAATCAACTTGTCACATCGAATGAACACAACCGCAGATACGAACACAAACGCAGGTGTGGTGCGCATCAGCGTGAGTACACAGAACACCTGATACTGGCCTACTCCTGATAAGGAGAGTTTATAGCAACCGTAAATTTTCATCCTGTCTGCTATTAGCAAAATGATAATACTGGCTATGCCTGAATGCCTCCGACGATTGTGGTTAGCTTAGCTATTCACCGGCATTTTTAAGGTAACCTATCCAAATTCTAGTTCTCTCTTTCTTTTGGTTTAATTAGGCACAGACAGGGAACACTTGCTAGATTCCCAACGGGACTCAACTTTAGTGCAGTAGATCAGCGATGTCTTTCTAATGCAGCGGCCACTGGCCATATGTGTGGTACTCATACGGCATTCCTGGTGGTGCCACCTGTGCACATATCATACTACAATGTTAACTGCTTGTGCTACCCTACATGACAGTGCGCCTTTTGGTCGTAGATCGATTGAAGGTTTACTGGAGGGTCCAGTGTGACAATGTCAAAACACAGCACGCTTACAAATCAAGTAAGCCGATGTTGACTCTTCTTTTCAGATAAACTTCCCCCCGAAAGGATCATTTGTCAAGATACGATTGACATTCAGGGCAATTACGAACTGGCCCGTGGACAATCCAAGCTCCTCAGCACTTCATCACCATACATACTGATGGTCAAAGTTCTCCTCAATGTCAACCAGTTGTCCTGGTAACTGGAATTGACCAAACAGTCGATGAAGGAAAGAAATGAAACGCACTAGTTAGCTAAAAGTGCATCCCAAATAGAGAACAAAAGAGTTTTAAGAAATACTTTCCATTTATTTTCGTAATTCGCTATAGAGAGTAGTGTTCAAACAGAACATAATTCTGTATGTGGCCTGTATTGCATCGATATTAACCACCAACGAACATGGTTCCACATGTCAGATATAATCCACTATTTTGTAAAAATTGGCCCCGATCGAAATTTTGGGTAAACAGGTTTGGTAAACCTTGCAGTATTCTTCTGTTTCATGGTACCTGGAATATTAGGAGAGGTACGGAATTAGCACACGTCACTTACTTATTTTCAGTGTCTCAAGACGTTCGAGGAAGGGTTTGGTTTTGAGTATGGATTCATTTAACCTTTCAAACTCCTGGTCGCACATTTTCTTATTCACGTATTTTTGACGACTGTCAGGCAGTAGTAGCCTGATGTGGGCTGGTTTTGGAAAGGATGTTTCACGTAGTACCAAATCTGTCCTGACAGCCGTTCTTCCCACAGGACAAATCAGTTGGTGTTTATCCCCAACCCACACGTAGGCTCTGGGCTCTTCCGCTAATGCTTCCTGAACCTGAGCCATGTGACGATTCGGATACTTGGTCTGGAGGGACCCTGTACTACGAAATGGAGGGTGGGATTTTTCTACTCCGGCTGGTAGGTGAGATCCTTCGTCATCCGGATAGGTTGCGACGATTTCCGGCTGAGTTGTTTCTGCTACGGACAACCAGTCCGTAACTGACCGTTGAGTATCGTTCACTTCCTTGGGGAACACAATTTCTATCCCCTGGACAGGAGAGAACGAATGGGGTTCAATTAAAAGAACGGCAAATGTTGACTGAAAAACTTCAAGCGGATCACAACTGTTGAACTTCAAAAAGTACAAATTTTGGCTTTCAAAAGTTTCAAAAGTTAGTGAACACAACCAAGGAAGGCCAATCGAGAACAAAACCATAACTCTCTATCGCCTGGACTAAAAAAAACAGCTTGGTAACAGCAGCCATTCCGTATAAAACAGGAACATCGGAGGTTATTCACAGACTGTTGAATTTAGTCAACATTCGAGTAGCTTTTCAGAAGGGAAAAACGCTACGCTCAGTTTTGGTGCGATTGAAAGATCCCCTGCCGGTTGAAAGGACTAGAGACGTGTATAAAATGCAACCATTGCGCTAAGGTTCACATAGGACAAACTGCCAGCGAATTGCACACCAGAATTGGTGAGCATAAAAGAAGGATTAACAAACCACCAAGAAATGCAGAAGAATACCAAACGCTGGTCACGGACTCAGCGATGGCGGTACATTCCTTAGACACGGGACATAGAATAAATCTGGAGAATGTGGAGGTCTTAAGACGGGGACTGCGATTCACACCACAGCGGTTCACATCACAGCGTGAATAGAATCGAGGGTGTGGAACTGGCGTCATGACGGTGTGTTTGTCAATCCACGTAGGATCATTAGAAAAAATCGGGGGGTGGGGGTGGAAATCCCAACCCGAACAAAGGTCATAGCATCCCTCTTACACAACTCTCTAAGCCCTGTCTCACCCACAGGCTGACAGAAGGTTCAAGCGACGTTCAAGAGGGACCATCAAATGAACCGAACCAGAAGAACTAGACCTTAGACTGGTCCCAAACACATGTAGGTTTCCCCACCGACCCGACACTTGTTCAACCACTCCAACACACCTCGGCCGACAGCCAACAGAGATTCAACTTGACTTAGCTGATTGGTTCTCCTTCCGCCTCAAATCTCCACCAACCTCGGAACCCAGTCACTTGGCCTGATGAAGCTTTTGTGTCAAAAACGAAACGTTGCCCAGTGATAAATCTACCGATTGTCAATTTTTCGAAAACGAAAGCTTGGTGACAAGTTTATCTAAGGCTGTTCTATGGAATTAATCTATTAAGACAAATATGGATGTTACAGTGGAAACAGCAAGGCATACTGGGTTTATGCTTCTCGCATATAACTGAATAAATTTCAGAGTCTGTCCAATATCCCCACACGCTATGGAGTGCAAGTTTGTTGAGACCACGGTAGCGATGTTTTCATTATTGTCCTTTACAAACTCAACGTTATCGCTCAACTGGGACGTGAGAGATAATAATACCTTCCAAAATTTCGGCTAGTTGACTTTAGTTCATTCCGAAAAACCCGGTTTTCTAGTACAATTGTCACGCAGCTATCAAGCATGCATGAGAGACTGCCACTGCGATCACACTCTTCCGCTAGGCCTACGTTTTACCACTCTAAGCTGGTAGGATGATGGACAGTGAACGCATCACTGATTCAGATCAACAGACAGCGCAGGATGAGTTCAATTGTTCCCACTCTACTGGTTTCACCCAAGTGCAGAATCTACATCTGTTATCATTTTTAGAGTAAATTATTGAAAGGAGGCACGGAAACTGTTAAAACTGCCACCTCCTCACAAAAATAATTGGCTGGTTTTTGTAAAATATAGAATTTCTTATACTTTACGGGTGTAACGGTGATACTACTGATGGGGAGGAATGCGAGTAGTATGTTTTCTTGTACATTCGCTTTGTGTCTCTTGAAAAGGGATATCTGTTGCGGAATTTGTAGGGTCGCCTTGTAGCTTTTGCATGGATTTGAGCAACAGTCAAAGAATATTCAAGAAAGTTCAGGAATACGCGCTCAAAAGAAGATGGATGTTCGGTTTTTGTAAATATGATGCAAATTAGAGTTTTGCTTCCCCTTCCAATAGTCTGTAACTGGTCAGTTGGCATTTTTTAATGAATAACTCCGCAGCGATGACCTTCTTTCTTTCACGGGTAGCTGTGCAACATTCCAGAGTTGGTTCGATCGACTTTATTTCTCATATATATATAAAAATCGACAGCTCGTGGTTAGGTGAGCATGATTAAACCATTATTTGGTGTTGATCAGCTTGTCGTTCGTCCATTCGGGTGAGCGGCTTGCAGTTCCACCTCAGTCATGGAAATGTCGTCAAGTGAGCGGTTCGATGGGTACTCTACTCTGACATGTCAGTGTTTATGTAAATTCTGGAAAGTATTGGATGCTTAATTATGTAATCTGCTATTCGTAGAGTATGGTTCCAATGATCTTATTGGCTGTGCATACATCCTCCTCTTTGAGTAGGAAGAATAATCGAAATTCTAGAGACCATACCTACATAATGAATACGAAGAAAGATAAAATCAAAAGTGTGCCGTAGAAGGCACCCGATCAGTTCTACAAAAAAACGCTGTGGTAAGGACGACGATTACATTTCCTAATCCCAGAGTAGAAAAGTGTATGTATCTTCCNTTTTCCCTTCAACGTTATTTTCATTTATTATCATCCATCCTTCACTGTAATATCACTGAATGAAAGTCAATCTCCCCAAAATGTTTCCGCCAGAAGCCAAAATTCTTCCCCCTCATGACCTCTAATTTTTAGGGGCGAATTCTACCAGCACTCACGGTGGTTTTATTTTTATTCTATAATTTCGAGGAAAGTGTAGACTTCGAGTATCCAGTGATAAGTTTTCCAACCCCTTTTTTTTGGTTTTCCCTATTTTCTCTATCCTGATTTCTAACAAGAGGGGTGAAAACGGTGTTTTGTCGGATAGTTTCTATCAACCACAAAGAAGAATTACTTCGGGATAGTGAATATGGTTTTGGCTGGAACTGTTGTTCTTGGGAAGACTGGTTTAATTTCAAGCAAAATACATTCTAAAGTTTTGACTTGGGTTGTCCGTTTGCGTGAGTATACCTTCATTACGCGCATGAAATATACCTCTAATAATACATGTGACCCAACCCTGCCTTCCACCAATTCTGGTGTTTTGTCTGGTGTTCTGTAGGAGACCAATTCTATCCTGTTTTTAGTTTACATGCTCTTAACAAATATCGCGAGATGCACACTTTGGCAAAACAAAATTTTGGTTTCAACAAGGGCCGAGTGGAATGAATGCTGGCCATGAACAAATAAGTGTAGTTTGCAAATTGCGTGCGATTTTAGAGCAAGTAGGACGCAAGGCCGACCGGAATTGGACGAATTTGCCAGCCATATGAGATTCAAGAAGAGCTGTCGAAAAGCTTCCATTAGTCATGTGGTTAGTGATCCTTTGAACAGCTAACTGAAGATCTACCATATATGATATCATTGCCAGTTACCGGCATCCTGAACCTTAACCTTTTCCAAAACTTCAGAATACCTCCACTCTCCTTATGTTTTGGTCATGTTTACAACCTGAGAGTTTGAATGTGCAAGACCACAGAATTGTTCCTTTCCGTATTCATTGGGTTTGGTGTTATCCGTCTCTCACACATCTTATTCTGACAAGTTCTGTGTGGTGTTGCTAATGAGCCAACGGTTTCGGAAGTACTCTTTTCTGATATGAAATAAGTTGCACCCAAGCGTTCAAAGGCCCAAAATCCGTCTTTTCACCGTCAGCTCATCCTTAATTTTCACTTACACGCACTCATATAAGCTGGGTTTAATCATCCCAGTTTTCTTCTCTGTCCTTAAAAAACAAGACATCGTCGCATATTCATTTATCAAGGCCTGTTTGAACCACAAAGACTGTTGAAAGGAACACGACAACGCAAATAGTTTCGTTTGCATACGAATTTGGTTTTGACTGGAGACTCATCCGAACCCAGCTGAATCTCTCGTTCATGATGTCCGAACCCAGATGAATCTCTCGTTCATGATGGCTCGCTTTAACTGGATATGCTGCACCAGGCCACTTCATGTTACAGGTTGTAAGATACTCGAGAGATCTCAGTATGTTGTTATCCGAAAGTAACGCACTACTCAGAAGGTTGCTGAGTAGTGTGTCACATCTGTAGAACACTACAATTTTCCGCAGCATAGTCATCAAACCGTAAAGAAAATCAGTTTACGAGTGTAGTGAAGGCATCCTGGAGTTGCAGAAATTCTTGAAAATCAGGACGTGGGTGATCTGCTTGCGAAAGCCACTCAGCCTCAGTGTTAATTAAGGCTTCAAGAAATACACTAATTTGCAAATCAATTTGGTTTTCACGAGAGACTCAACTAACTCTCTCGTTTATGTTATTCTACAACTGAATTTGCTGCGCTCCGATATCTCGAATATCATGCCAACTGAATCATGGGGTGGCCTGTGTGCAGCACATTCAGTTGTAAAATATCATAAACGAGAGATTCAATTGAGTTTCTCGCGAAAACCAAATTGACTCGCAATCGAGTGTATTTCTCGAAAACAGTCCGATTTGGGTTCAAGTGGAACATAAGGTTGACGGAAACTCGGGGACTGCGCCTACCTGATGAACCCAAAACAGAAGGACGAAACCGGTCGTGGGCTGTCGAAGGGTTTTCGGAAACCTTGTGAGTAGTTCCTTCAATTAAGGCTTGTTACAAGGAATATCATTAGCGCAGACTTGAGGGGAAGTTGATTGCAAAGCCAAAAACTCTGACCTCGAATTTCGTAGACAAGCAGTCAACTTTTGTGAGTGTAGCAAGTTTAACTTTAGGGTCCTGTAGTAAATTTTCAGCTACAGTTGTAATTGTCATTGTAAATGTAACCGGGTTTTGGCGGACGGAACCATGGATACGAGTTCTATTGAATTCACCCAGCAGTGTACGTAGTGCGTGACTGCGTCACATACACTCATATCCGACCAGAATTGGCCATGTCATCGGCAAACTAGAGGCCTTCAATGTTATGTACCGGGTACTCCTGGACCGATTGCGTCTGATACGGTCAAGGTACTTTGCGATAGTTGAAATCCGACTGCATGACCCGCAACTCTGCGCCAAAAAGAAATTCATGCTACTTCTGAACCTGAGTTAGTGTTGGAAAAATCCAGTCGCCCAAAACTTGTCGAGGACAAAAGTCACTTGCTTAACTCCGCAGCCCGTTGACTTCCATCCTTTTAAAGAGAATACATCCCTGGTTTTCACATGACATTTACGTCTGATTTCTGGCATCTTATAAATTTGCAAGAAAATCAGCTTTGTATGGTGACCTTCTCCTTTTTCAACCGTAGTCCTCCAGAAAAGGTTCTTTTCACTTAGAGTGAACATAGTTGTTGTGTCAATCATGTTCCATTTTTCGAGTAGTGGCCCCTCAGGAGAGGCTAATTCACCAGTTCACTTTGGGGAGTTTGTTGTGAAGGGACACATTCACTGTTTCGACATTGCAAACAAGGAGGAAAGCAACGTTATATTCTATATACTTACAAAAATAGCACCCAAACAGAGTTCTTAATATGAACTGCTGAAAACACAGTGGGCCGAGGTGGCCCAAGTGGTTAGGGCACGAATTTACTGATCGGAAGGTCCGTGATTTGAACCCGATCTCTGCCTCTCTACTTTCCCTCATCTAGGCTTGGGCAACCTAAAAGTATCCCAACCCTCGTCCAAACTTCGGGTGGCATGGCATCTAGGCATAAAAAGGGTGCTACAGCGGAAAGACGCAGAGGACACAGTGCAGCCTAATAGCTTCATTTCTGTTTTTACCCATCAATTATATTCCTGACGTCAAAAGTTTCAATCGATTCAATGCTGTGTAGCTTACTTCTTGTGGAATCGGTTCTTTATTTCGTTCTTTTTTATTTTCTGTGTTTGACCGTGAATGCCGAAGCTTATCGGTAAACTTCACCCGTTTGCGCGCCTCATCGTCCGACTTGAGTGACACATCAACCGGGGGAAGTTTTGGTGCATTTGATTCTGGCTCCTCTGCCTTCTTTTTGGTTTGTTCAGTAAACTTGTGAAACCATTCGGATTGACCGTAAATCTCACGCAGTTCATCACGAGTTTTTCGCTGCTGTGTGCGTCTGGCCTTGTAGGCTCGATAGAGGTGTGCAGCTATCTGCATTCCACAATATATATATATGTATATATATATTTATATCGTAATTACTTTGTGATACTACAAGTCGTCGAACATCTGTTTTGACAGTGTAAACCACTGTCTGGTGGGCCCTGTCAGTAATCACATGAAACGCTGACCGCATGCCATCTGTGAGTATTGGGAGTCAATTATTGAGCTGAGTCGTTCTGGAAATGAATGCAATCAGGAGGGCGTATTTTTCTAGGTTGAGACGAGGAAATGTACTTCCGTCAGTTTTTGGATTGTTTCCAAAATATCGCTTTGATGTCCGCTCTGACTAGTAATTCCACACTCTGTAGAACAACAGCCCCTTAGAGACTTGGGCAAGAAGGTACCCTCCCTAAATTCTGATCACACAAACTTTCCATACTTACCGTAGCTGGAAGCTGCCTGTAGCGTATGTTAGACTGGCATGTAAATACAATGGCTTTACTCAAACTTCTCGGACGAAGGCTGAATGGAAAAAATTCATCTACATGGCTAATATACAAATAACGAGTAATTTTGTTTTCAACCCATGCTTTGTGAATACAATAAAACATTCATTTTGAAGAAAACTCGATGAAACAAGACTAAAAAGACGTTTTCGTAATATTGTAATATCAGCTTGAGTAACTGACGGCATGCGATTGTCAAATCAGAGGTGGAGCGATAAGACGCCAAGATAACGCTAGCCACGGAATGTTTTCGATCATGATAACTCACTTTTGGCAATAAAGATGCCCGACCGGAGGAGTTTTGTCTTTTAGACTCAATTACAAGCAAATCATCACATGTGCGCTAAGATGAGCGGATCCGAGATGGAAAATCTGGTTGCAAACCTCCATGAGTACGCATTTACCTTAAAACTTTCGCTTTTTGGTCGTGTTCGACTTCTACTGAGCTTCCTAATGCATCTGGTGTTGGGCGACTGGTAACTTGTTTTTTTGCTGGTGCAAGTAACCCGAGTAACATTGATTCGCTTGGGCTGACTTGCAGTAAGGATCAAACGAAGGCGGCCTAGCTAAAAATTATTGGGTTACCAAAATGAGGTTTAGAAGCGCTTCACACTGTAAGCTGGTGTGTTCGTTCAGTCATCACCTCTTTTGCAAGCTCACCAGTTCCACCGATCGTCCCGGTGAATCTTGATCTTCTCGACGCACAGGTCAATTCACTAAGTTGACGGCCCCAACTAATGCAGAATGGCTTAGCTTCAAACGATTCACTGAAATAATTAAGGACTAATGAGGGAAACCACCCATTATGTTACTGAAAACTCTTTGACAGTGGACGGACGCTTTTGTCATTTTGGACGCAGCCCCCGAGTCACCGTCAGCCTCTGTTCAAATTGGTAATGTGTTGAAATATTGATAGCTCGGGTGAGTTTATTGGTTGTTGATCAGGTGGCTGTTGATCTGTTCGCCGAGCTTGGCAATTGATTTGCAGACGCTTCGTCACCATTCGAGGAGACATCTTCAGTGCGCAGTTGGGTGCGAACAGATCAACAGCCAACTGATCTTTTCAAATTATAACAAATTATATCAAATAGTTGAACATCGTAAACTGCTTCCAGTTTGGGTTCAATCAGAACTTGAGGTTGACGAAGACTCTTGGACTGCATGTACATAAGAAAACGAAGAACGAAGTCGGTCATCGAAGACATCTCAATAGCGTTGTGAGCAGTTTCCTTCAAAAAATATAGGTCAGTATCTCATATATCGCACCAACTGAAATTTGAGGACAGCTTTGTATAGTTGAAGAATATCAACAATGAGAGATTTAGCTGGGGTTCAGTTGAGTCTCCTCGTTGGTCCAACGTTATTTACAAACAAATGTATTTCAATAATTAGCTCTGTAGTTCTCAGAGTGAATATGGCCACTGTTCTCGAGAGATACACTCGTTTGCAAATCAGTTTGGTTTTCACGACAGACTCAACTAAATCTCTCGTTTATGATTTAGTTGAGTCTCTCGTGAGACCTAAATTGATCTGCAAATGAGTGTATATCTCGAAAACAGTCCAATTTGGGTTCAAGTAGATCGTAAGGTTGACGGAAACTCGGGGACTGCGCCTACCTGATGAGCCCAAAACAGAAGGGCAAAACCGGTCATGGGCCGTGGAAGAGTTTTCAGCAACCTTGTGAGTAGTTTCCTCCATAAAAATAGCCACTGTTCATTTGGATGCTTTTCATAAACTAATGATTGCGATGAACTTATTCTAATCTAGTTGAAAATGGACAGATTGCTTTTTAGGTGTGATCACAGGTTGGTGCCCCTAATTGTCGTTACGAGCCAGTTAAGCATGTTGCTTCAACAAATTTCTCAGCTGCTGCTCCACAAAGAGAAAACTTTGGAGATAAAAGAGATATGATGTCATTGACTGCATTAGTTTTGTAATCTTGTGTCAATTCACAATACATAGTTGTGCGCTAACAACTCCCCATTACATGCTGGTCGCCAAGTGGGTTACGTCTTTACAATAAAAGCAACGGGGCCAGTATACCGCAGAGTTGAAATAGCAAACTAGCTACGTGCAGTTTTCATTCTGGCAGGCTGTACAACTGTGTAACGAAAGCCAACTTCCTTTGAGTAAAAGGTCCGACAACTAACCAGTATTCTGACTTTCAAGAACTGCATCAAGAAATTTATGGCTAACAGCAAATCGTACATGACGTTTTGTGCATAATGGGATAACCTGTGGACAAGCTAGAAAGAAGCTCGGAGGAAGAAGAGATATCAAACGCCAGAAAACATCGGAGCAATTGCAAGATCCAAAAACCGATTTCAGTTGATGTTTCCCAAAAGGACTGGGTCATTCGGCCCCAATTAACTATCATTTTTTACGATTAGGATAACATTTAGAAAGAGTTTGAAAACAGATAGAGTACTTTAAGATTTAGAGATTTAAGCCATTTCCTTGAGTGATGATCATTCACCTGTAATATCAAACACGCTATTCGTATGGTCCTCCAAATAAGGAGCATTCACTCCTCACATGAGACCATTTTGAACAGGCTGCAGAAGTTAATTATGTTTCAGATATCGCTAATGCATGATATAGTAAGGCTTGCAAAATAAGAGCTGTGGGCCCCTCCTGGTTGACCATAGGACACAATATTTTGGCCGATTTCTGACAACTTAAGATAACTTGAACAATGATTGTGATGTTAAGGTAGCTTTCTGTGCTGTGAGTGCATGGGTGAGCACTGGACGTTGTATTTGCTGGCATGCAGATCCAAAACAAGGTATCGCTATAAAAAGCCGATATTTATACACAACTCCGCCGAGGGAGTCAGCAGAATCACGTGATAAGTGCGTAGAAAGAGGAATTTATCTAGCCATCACTGAGGTAAACTAAGTAACTGAACAGACATGGACACAAAGCCACAAAAAATAGAGCGAAATAAATGTCTAGCTGTTATAAAATTCTTCCTTGTGAACAACATGAGACACGCTCTAAAGCGTATCTGTGCTGCAGCTCAGCTATGTCTGATATCGACCGCCGGAAGATTCCCTCGGCGCAAAAGTCAGCGCAGAGTGCCCAACTTACTTCGTTTCATGTAGTCCTTGAGTTCTCAGGCATCTGCATTGGGGGGATAGACAGATGTCTAACGGAACGTATTCCAAAGTATGTAATTTGAATACTATGGGGACTGCAACCGTAAGGTCAGAGGTCAAGTCGAAATCCTGTAAAATCGTTGGACATATCGGACACAAACCAGCGGGCTGGTTCTGTACTTTAATGGGCAACACCAACCTCTGGATCTTACCGGTAAGGAAGTCGCTTCTGATCAAATCAAAACAGCCCCAACTGTCGATCGAAAACTGTCGGAGCAAACTACTCGGTTGTTGTAACGTTCATCGGATAATATGTAAAAATTAACGAACCAGTCCTTTCAACAGCATTTATACTCGCATATTTTACGCCTGTGACCAGTCTTAAAATTAGTGCTAAAATACTGCAGCCTCTCTTCTGTCAATGCTACTGAGAATGCATTTACACGACCCTCAAGGATGAGTTGTTTAAAAAACGACCCATCTCAGTTCATTTAAAGAGGTGTTTTGCCCTCAGTCGAAAGTGATGTAGGTGCGGAACCTTTCGAACCATCAACGATCCTTTTGTGCTCGAAGTTGATTGTCCCACCAACAGAAGACCTTCTGCCATCCAGATGGCAAAAAGTTACTGAATTACTAGGAAGGTTGAGTACACTGGTATACCGATCAGCACCAATAAGGATGAAACTTCAGCCTCTTTCCCCCTTTTGTGTAGATTGAGCAGATAACACTACCTCAGCAGACATCAATTAGCAAAACTAGTGTTTTGAGTACTCCTACATTAAAACGCCAGTTGCGTACATGACTGTGCATAGTAACAAGGTTTTTTAGAAGCATTTTCGGTTTCCAAACATGATATCCAGCTATATAATATAGTAATCCCTCAGTAACGGGCCTCTTTGAAGACAGATGTTTACCGTGGGGCAGAACACTGTGGTATTCATCGTCATTAACAACAACTAAAGTTTTTCGTTTGATGTCCGACTGTTCGTTGGTTTTTCTAATAGTTAAGTTCCTCCTAGAGTAAAGCAGGTATTGCAGCGTCCACACAGTTCGAAAACCTTTGCTACACTCGGTTGCTCCGGAGAAAGGTTCAACAGGAGTGATATTTTTTAAAAGACCAAAATCGGTCCATTCTACGATTTGATCTGTTCTGACACATAACCTAATAGTTTAGTACGCTTCATTGTGCAAGCGACGTAGGGTTCTGGAAGTTTGCCTCTCCTGAAGGCGGTCCAACCGGAGATGAGAAGATGCCGGTCTATGGAGGTTACTGTAAAACAAAACCAGAGTATCGCTTGAGGATGCCACACAGTGCACATCATTGTCAGCACCATTCAGACTCGACATAGGGTTAGACACCTCGGATGCTGCTGGAATTGTTCCTTACCGTGGGAACTACCCACAACGGAGCGAAAATAATTACAATGAGCTTACACCCATGTTTAAACGGAAGCGAGTGACCCTAGTGCAATTTTAGCTATCTTTTACAAGGTGCTGACTTCCCAAGAGTATTTTACTGAATTCAACTTGGTGAAAGTGTCCATGACTCATGAAGGTCATTTTAAAAAGCAAGGTCAAAATAATAGTGCAAAACTTCAGGCCATCATTATGAATGAAGTGTGGTCACAGTTTAGGGTGCGTATAGAAGATTGTTTTTTCGTATGATCGATAGATGGTGCTCTCCCTCTCCAAAAGAGATCCTTCCCGAAGAAGATCCGTTAAGCTGTCCCTCATGCATGTTCTTTTTTCGGGGAGAACACGTAGCTGGATGAGACGGCGCACAAAGATCCGCGAAGTGGTGCCCGTTAAATAATGGCGAAACTATTTATAATGAGGAGAACCCAGTAGTTGAATATATGCAAGACAGCAGACAAGTCTGGAGCTGTGTATTGAGCGAGATTCTGCAAGAATATTTATTTTTATTAGTGGATTGGACAAATCCGGTAAGCGGTTTGTTTTGAGTCATTTTGATCATCAGTCCCTTACAAAGCGCCACATTTAGTAATGCAACCCCGAGCAAATCGGTAGAGTACGATTGTCCTAATACAATCATGCTGACCGTCACAAAGTGCGCTCTGTTGCAATCAGTTGTTGCCGAAATTACAGCGAATACAATTCAGATTGCATAGAAGATGTTCCAGATCCCACGAAATTCATTGCGAAACTTGGTAAGTGACGCAGCCGATAAACTGTCCTTGTTGGAGCTAATATCATTCTATTTTTTCGGGGTCTGGAGTTTCCAATACAATTTGCGAATATGGAATTTGATCGTTAGAAGAAAGACATCTTGATCCAACTTATGTTTTCGCTTCCAAAAGACCACAAGTCCCCGGGATTAGATTAAAAACCGAAACGGTCTCATCGTTATTGTACCGTTTGCAAGTACCCCTAACTAATGAAAGATGTGTATTGTGTACCAAGTTCAAAGTTGATGATATGTCTCTCTTATGTAGTTCCGTAACGTTTGGAGCTGGTTCTCCTAATATCTCCTCTTTGAAGTTGAGTAGTACAAGTTTACTGTCTCGGATTAACCGGAGTCTTTGTCACTGGCATTTTTCTGCAAGTCGTCCTTCGTGATTGTTGATACACAGGCGCTTCTGGCAACCTGAGTGTCGGTTGTCCTTCCTCTGTTCATGTCCAGGTGTTCTATCAGAAAGTCAGAGGCAACGCATTTAACCTCTGAGTGGGTTGTGAATAAGCTTCTTTTAACTGATTTGCATGACGAACCCACGTTTCGGAACACACGCGAACATCATACATGACGTTTAAGATTCACCGAGTGATTTTGCCTTGAAACCAGGATACGCGATTACCACGATAGTCCTTTACTGGCACGCTCTGTCCATGTCAAAATGTCGCCACTTTGCACCATGCTTGCCTTTATTGTAGGACTTCATTTTCTGATTTGATGAGCCCCATCGCCGTTGCCAACTTGTTGTGGACAACAGTCTCCTTAATGCATTCTCATTACCATGAACCCCGGTCTGGATAGCCGATTGATAGCCGGGTGCGCTTGGCCAAACCAGAAAAAGTCATTGAACGTGCGAACCGGCTGACTTATTGATCGCTGTCGCGTACAGGCGGGTAAAGAAAGTGATACTAAGACTACAACTCATCTGTCAAGGGCGAGTGAAGAACAACCAATGAAATCTGGCTGTAGGTTTTCCGACTGGATGTTATTTAGTCCCGTTACGTTCGGAGCTGGTTCTCCTAATATTCTGCAAGTCTCCGGTGGAAGTAAGCGGAACAACGAACGGGAAACTTTTAGAGGAGGAATTTTTTGTTCCTACCCTAGTCACAAATGACAAATGTGGGATATCCGATCGCCGTACAGTTGTGTGTGATTTGGGTAGATGTATGTCAGGATTTAATCATCTCCTTTCCGCTTGTTGGGATCTACCGGTTCTTCAAAAACAGTTGGACACAATGAGACAGCAATGTACGCCTCGGAATACTTCAACCATTTCACAGTGTATTGGTTTGCAGTAGGGATGGGAAGTTTGATCTATGTTTGAGAAGCACACGATCAAGGCTAAACGAAGAATGTCATACAGTAAAGTCTCAGATACCAAGCAAAACCTTAAAAACTGACAGCAGGGTTTGTTATCCGTTGAAGGTGGTTGGTCAAGTGGTGGATGTTTTCCCCCATTTTATTTCAAATGACCCTCTGTGTAGATAGAAGATAAATAGTGGATTTTGATCTTTTCGCCGATCTTGGTACCAAACGTGGGGACATCATTAGTGCGCACAGATGGCGGCGAAACGTATACAAGCAACTTTCCGAGCTTGATGAACAAACCATAAGCCACCTGTTCTAGAATCAATGAACGCAGGTGGGGAACCAATATTTCGATATACTGCTAGATTCCTGTAGAAGAATTTATTAGATAGTTATGAGAAATATTCTAATCTGGAGTGAAATGCTGAATTTCATACGCTGGCCGCTAACTGAGAAATATGAGCAAATGTAGGGGAACCGAAAGTGGAAGTCTCGAAACTAAATTAAACCGCATCCCATCTCGAATATATGGAAAACTAAAATGTGAACATTAGGGTACCTCAACGTACAGTTTTCTGTGTACTTTTTTGGACTTTACTCAATTATTATAAACATGATTTGATAGAACCGGTTTTTACTTAGAGGTATGATTAAATTTAATGTTTATTCCAGAATAATTTGGTAAATAGCGAGATAAGAACCGCTTTCACTCACACACAGCGGTAGTTTTTAGTCAATACAGCTGTTTCACTCTATGACAGTTATGGTCTGATAACATAAGACTTCTTTCCCGTTATAAGTTGAACCACGTTGTGTTTGGTGGTATAAGTGAGTGTCTTCTATGAGTGTAGGTACTTGGTTGAATTGAAGATTTGTAGCTGTGTTCCTCACCTTCGACATTGATATTTTTGCCATTTATGGAGTTTTTGTCGCAATGGCCTTGTCTTAGACCTGTGTATTCGGAATGCTGACTCATTTGGTCATTTGTCTCGTGCTTCGTCGTTAAATCAAACCTTCTTTACGCATATCACTGATAGTTTCTTTTGTCTGACCATTCGTCGTGTTTTGTATGAATCTTCTTGCAGCTTTGTGATATTTGAGAATAACAAGCCATTTGGCAGACCCATGCATTTATCTTGTGCGCCCGAACACTGAGAAAGCAACATCTTCCAACCAAATTCTTCCGGTCTTACTGGCAAATTTGTCAGACACCCATCCCTTTTTGTTGTGGTCTTTTTATTCTTCAACCAACCACTGACGGACCTGATCTGGCTTTGATGAAGACGTTTCGCTTTATGTAACACTCCACTCCTGGTGCTTAGACCCTCATCCCATTGTTATGGAACGTCTGTGTTTTTTCAATTCCTGCATGGAGTCTTATGAAGGCAAGCAACGCGTGCGTCCGCAATCGCCCTTCAAATTTTAACCGGCGAGTGAAAGAGTTCTTGAGTGTTCCGGTAGCTTTTCTCGGGTTTATAACGATCATTTCTGTTCGTGTAACCCGACTAGTTATGCGTAACAGTCGCTTGAAAAGCATAGCCCCGGACAACTGCAATTGGAGACACCATACACCTGTACTGATGTAGTCCTGACTAAGACGCTGACCTCGGGTTTATAACGATTATTTTTGTTCGTATAACCCGACTAGGTATGCGTAACAGTCGCCGTAAAAGCATAGCCCCGGACAAATGCAATTGGAGACACCATACACCCGTACTGATGTAGTCCTGACTAAGACGCTGAAGTTGGGATGGGATGCAACGCTTTTTCACAAAAACCAAGCGCATCTAGCTTGGCATGTTTTCAAACAAAATTGGCAGCCAAAATATAATTCTTGAAGCTCTTTACGGTATGTGTTATGTCAGATGTTGTTCTGTTGGTTATCAAAGTTTGAACAAGGTTTGAACGGTGGCTGTCAGGGTGAAGATTTGCAAAGAATTGATTCAGTTTAGAAGCCGTTTAGACCACTATTTAACGCTCAACTATCCGTTGCTTTCATCCCATGTAGCGGAGAAGATCTTGTGCGCCCGAACACTGAGAAAGCAACATCTTCCAACCAAATTCTTCCGGTCTTACTGGCAAATTTGTCAGACACCCATCCCTTTTTGTTGTGGTCTTTTTATTCTTCAACCAACCACTGACGGACCTGATCTGGCTTTGATGAAGACGTTTCGCTTTATGTAAAACTTCACTCCTGGTGCTTAGACCCTCATCCCATTGTTATGGAACGTCTGTGTTTTTTCAATTCCTGCATGGAGTCTTATGAAGGCAAGCAACGCGTGCGTCCGCAATCGCCCTTCAAATTTTAACCGGCGAGTGAAAGAGTTCTTGAGTGTTCCGGTAGCTTTTCTCGGGTTTATAACGATCATTTCTGTTCGTGTAACCCGACTAGTTATGCGTAACAGTCGCTTGAAAAGCATAGCCCCGGACAACTGCAATTGGAGACACCATACACCTGTACTGATGTAGTCCTGACTAAGACGCTGAAGTTGGGATGGGACGCAACGCTTCTTCACACAAACCAAGCGCACCTAGCTTGACATGTTTCCAAAAAAATTGGCAGCCAAAATATAATTCTTAAAGCTCTTTACGGTGTGCGTTATGTCAGATGTTATCCTGTTGGTTGTCGAAGTTTGAACTAGGTTTGAACGGTGGCTGTCAGGGTGAAGATTTGCAAAGAATTGATTCAGTTTAGAAGCCGTTTAGACCACTATTTAACGCTCAACTATCCGTTGCTTTCATCCCATGTAGCGGAGAAGAAGGATGTCCTCATTGGGCCACATTCCAAAGGTGACCACATTATAAATACTACTAAACACGAAATGCACGCCGAGATTAATCACAATTGTCGAACAGCCCAGCTATTTTCTTGCCTTCTCCTAGGTAAGCCGGCGTAATTCTTAGAAAGCATAACGAACTCAACGTCTTCGTCTTGCACGTCGTTTAGTAATCCACCTGCAGTTGCGGCGAAAATTAAATTGGCACGTGATTCGCAACACGTGCCAGATGATTTCAGTCAGCTGACTAAACAGCCGATCGAATCCAGAACCGGGTCCGAAGATGAGGGAGTCTCATCTCTTTTTAGGCATATTCAATACACCTGTTGTCGGGCTGATCCCGAAATAGCATTGGCCCATTTCTCCACCAATGTGGGAATTAACCTTTGTCAGCCAAGTGTCTGCTCATTGAAGACCTTGATATGCTCAACGGACTTGCCTTAAGTACAAAGAAATCTACCCGGTTAGTTTACACACTCGTTCCATCTGAATATCAGCTAGTTTTCAATAGTCCCATAACACCAGTCACACTGTGCTGTGCACTAATCATCTCTATTATAGTAAATATTACATACGGTGGGTCATGTGAAACTCACCTCAGATTGCCCTTGGTCAATTTTTTCCACGCGTTGCTTATGACCGCGATAATATCGGAGCAATGTCTGTCGAAACTTGGATTCTAAACATCTATTTTTCCCGGTACAATAGGCTAGCATTTCACTCCGTCTAAATTGGCCAACCTCAAACGGTACGGGAGAGGGTGGACTTAATGGAGCGGTATCACCATCCTCTTCGACCGCGATTTTTTGCATGGCATTCACCAAATAATCGGCAGGTACATCCTCAGTCATCACTACTTGTAAGATGATTGTTTGTGCAATGCCAGCAGCGTTCCTTAGTGTATCGTGAAGATCACGTGAGCATTCTCACTTCGTTCACAACAACCAATTGGATTCGATTCATTGTGATTGGAGCAGCTGGCATCGAAATCACCCAATAGGTTAAATGCACTTATCCTGTACTTAGATAATCGCCTTTGTTAAATGTCTGTTTTTCTGGCATCACAAAAGCGAAGTGATTTATTATCGCCAGGACACACTTTTAGTTTATCAGCTCGATTGAAATTTGACCGGATGTGTGAACCACTTTGTGCTGTTGCGCAGGAGCGAAAATGTCATAAAATGACCATGTGAAACTAAACTTAGGAATACGCCATCTAGAATTACGACACACTTCCAACCGTTGTTTTGAGCAAGCTAAATTTAGCACAAATTTTCATATTTTAAGTGCGGAATTTGCGAGCCATTCGGACGCATCACAGGACGCGCATGATTGGGATTGTTCAGTAGAACTGATAGAGCAACGATGCTCACGGGCTTCAGCGGGATTCCATCAAAACTGGATCCATGTGACAAAGTGAGCTGCTGACATAAAAGGTTTCTTTGTTATCATTTGGGTGTAACAGAAATCGCAAGGCAGGGTAAATCCAGGAACTGAGAACTGATAGGCAAGTTACCAAAGTTGTGGCCACTCCCGAAAGGCAAGCGAACAGTTTTGACGTGTAACAGAAATCCCAGGGCAGGGTAAATCCAGGAACTGCGAACTGGTAGGCAAGTTACTAAAGTTGTGGTCACTCCCGAAAGGCAAGCGAACAGTTTTGAGTCAAGATACTGGTAAGCTGACATCGAGACCAATCATGTAGTTGAGTTCGCTTTATCAAGTGACACGACAGAACATACAGATTCGACCTTTTCGGGATCTGCATCAAAATACGTAGCAATTACATCTGTGTGCTAAGTCAAAGCAAGATGAGTGAGACGAGTTATGTAGAGACCGGCACGCGACCACCAACAGCTGCGGTAGGAAGACTAGGTTTATACGAACCGGACAGAGGCGTCTTGAATAACTATTGCTTCATGTTTGCCTCCAGACTTCGAAAAAAATCGTTTCTTGTGGTCGATACACGCAAACGAGAGGTTCACCTGGGTTCCAGGTGAGTCCCCCGTAAAAGTAAATTGGTATATAAATGAGTGGAGTTCGCTAATTTCATGCAATTTGGGTTCAAGTAAAACATGAGTTTGACGGAAAATCGGGGATGGCGCCTAACTGATGAACCCCAGAAGGGCGAAACCGGTCGTGAGCTGTCGAAGAGTTTTCAGCAACCTTATGAGTAGTGCATTGCAAGTATACATGCATCGCGATATCTCGAATATCGTAGCAAGTGAAACATGGGACGGCCTGTGCAGCACATTCAGTTGCCTGGAAACCCCGCAAACGAGAGATGCAGCTGGGTCCCAGGTGAGTCTTCCGTAAAACCAAATTGGTTTGCAACTGAGTGTATTTTGCTGAACTAGCTATTTTTTAGCTAACAGGAAAAGCGTACATAATTTGTCTGTTGTGTGATTGATGTAAGCTTATAACAAGGGTTATGGATATCCATAGCCTTGGGGAATACCCCTTAGTACTACATCCAAGAGAGATGAACTTAATCTTCAGTTCACCCACCCGATATTTAAACGTCAAATCCTCCTGATCATAAGAGTCGTTTTAGAGTGCAACCCACAAATTTGCTGGATTCAATCCAAACTAATTTTTTAGCTTCAGGGTGTATGAGATTGCTTGTTTAGGCTTTTTCAGTTCAGTCGCTTGGTTTAAACATGACATGAAAGGGAAAAATTTACAAAGCTCTCACTTTCAGGAACGTTGCACGTCAAATGATCTACTAAGGCAAGAAAACTCACAAGTTTCAGTTCAGACAGCCACGGCGTCGTGGCTATTTGAGAATGTCATCGTGGCAGAGGATTCACCGAACCAGCTGTCGTGCGACAGTACCGCACCTACTTCAGTGAAAGGCTATGCCGTCATGGTATGAGAAGCAGCGACGACGGTGGTAAATTTGTTCCATCGACTCCAAAAGTGCTGAACACTACCGAGAGGAGGGTAAGGTGAGAGGGCTTCATGATGAATCCGACTGTTTGATGGGATAGCAAACTGATAACTTAGTGCGCACGCGTGCATTCCGCACACCAGGCATGCAGTTTTGGTCTAAACAGTTGGGTTTTGGATTTTATCAGCACCCCATATAAGTTCTTCATATGGATCACAGTTATCCCTATAGTTTGGGCGCGTCCAGCCTGTGTAATCGGCATTGTTTCAGGAGCAAAGTGTAGTCAGAATTTTCAAATATGTGCCTTTTTTCCTGCTGCGCACATTCGAACCACGCGATCCAGACTGCATTCGGTTACGCTGTTTACTAGTAGGTCACGTGAAGTCGGGCTGCTGCAATCTCTCGGTTTTGGGTGTCTGCCACCGTTGTCGCATTTGTCAAGACTGGACGTAAATCAACCCGACCACTAACGAGGTTCCCTAGACTGGCGGGAAACCTTGGACAAGCTTGACGAAAAGGTCAACAACCAGGCCGTTTACTTGGGCTACGCCAATTTAGATGTATCGTGATCAGAGTCAGTCAGTCACATATGTGTGTTGGTAAGACTTGTGTTCACAATACAAGTGTGTCCGTACTGTATTCAGATCACTCACCCGTTCGTTGTCCGTGCGGCTAAGCCAGAGGTTCGGATGCTAGCATGTTTTGTTGAATTTGCTGTTATCAGGCGGCGCAGCAGGTGCGTAAAAGCAAAATCTTCAGGTGCAACTGTGCCTCAGGTGTCGTCAAAGCGTCACACTGGCTAGAAATTAGTCCTCGAGTACTGGGCTTGTTAAGGAGATAAACCTCTGAATCGCAGATCGCAGAAGAGTGGGTATGAAAACCGATACACTGGATGAGTTGGCTTGCTAACCTATAAAAGTAGTATCACATGACCCGGAGTTAGATGAGATGACGGCGACTTCGTTCTGTTGTTAACATCACCACTCGAATATTGAGGGGGCCAGTTAAGCGTCACAGATTTGTACGGCCACCGAAGGCCTCACTTATGAACGTAAATTTCAGGTGGCCACGGGTAGCTGAAAAACGGGTCTGCCAGTTTGGGCGTCTGACATGAACCATAAACGTATTCAGCTGTGCCCCCAGGCAGCCACTCACGCGACTTACATTCACAGTGAGATTCTTCAATGAGTTGGTCGGCCGTCAGCACAAGTGAAAGTAAAATTCGAGTTTGTTTACCTGTGATCAAATCAGTGGCTGGATTCAAATTACTTGCATGGTGGCTATTCGAAACATAGTTTACCGACGCGTTCGAAGCCCTTGAAACTCCGCACTGGCCGTAGTCCAACAGCGTACGCCAACAACTTCTCGTAAAGTACGGAGCAGCGGAAACAAACATCCACATTGAAATACAACACCTATTACCATCACTTTGAAGCCCAGATAATGTCTTTGCCTACCATCATTTTACTGTAATTTGTGTAATTCGTCTTTTCGGCTCATATTTTAATTTAACTTATGGTTATTTTTTTGCAGTTGACGACATTGTTTTCATTAGTTATGTTCATTAGTTTAATTTTTGAATAATTGCTCTCTTGAGGATACTCAAATTTCACGGTTAACCGCAAATATTCCTTGTATTTATTGTTCCGCAGGCATATCAAGAACCTTGGAAGGTATTCAGAGGTTTTTTTTACAGAATTTTCGGTGCCTCCATCGTATTTCGTTTTTAACTGCGTACATCCGATGGCTACTACTCCCATCGCGGTTTGCAACGCAGAAAAGCGGAGTTTTTCTCCGGCAGCTTAGTAACCTGAATGACTAGTCATCTTGGTAAATCTGAATGCGCTCATAAAGGACGCCGCAAAAACGAGATATTTCCGAGGCTTCAACGTCTGCAACTGATGCGACAATACCGAATAAATTAGTAACGAGCTACTTAAAATATTTCAGTAACCAAACAGATGAGTAATTTTGAACAACCACTGTGCACTTGTGCTTATTCTAGACCCTTTTTTCGGATTTCCAGGTCACCAGTAGTGTTTTTCAGTTGAGTGAGCTATCTCAGCTATATACTAGGAGTTTATTTGCTTTCGCTTAAAATTTTTCAAGTGAAACGAATCAAATTCCGCATCTTCTGTCGGAATTTTTGAGCTGCGAATTTACATCATTTTCCGTCGTTGTTCATATCATTACGAAATTCATTTGTTCATCGCTTACACCAAACGCATAACTGCCTCTTGTTCACAAAGCCGCACAAATACGAGGAACTTCTCAACTTCTCTCTGTCAACGTTATTGTTGTTGGTTGTCCTCTTGATGTATTCTGGTGTTTGGTTTATGGGCACTCCAAGTTTAACGCATGAAAATATTGTGGCTGCATTGTATTACGAAACTCTGTTGACGCCCCGACTGAGTTGTCACTCTGGATGCATTGAGCGGTGAATACCTCTTGGTGGCAGTTTAGCAAGGCACAATATCACGTGCCTCTGTCCCTAATTACAATGAAACAAAGCTATTTTTGGGATGAACATGGGGCAAGTAAAAAGTTAAAACATTCCACTGACGTGTAACCTCTTACAAACTGTAGCCAGTCTAACCGTGACATTTGTAGAACGAACAATGTTTCAGCAAGATTGACTGATCATAAGCGTCTGTATGCAATTTTTCGTGTAAGCATTTGCTCTTGTCAATTTCCCAGTGGGAGTTGAGTGTAGGTGGTGAAATCTTTGAAAGTATTCTTCTGATTTAGAAGAATGCCATGGGCTCCCTTACTCTAGGGTTTTCCCAAGTTGAAACCAATTTTGACAAACAGTTTCTATTTCGAGGAGTTGGATGACTTTAATAATTTGCCTAAATAGGCAAACTCTCTTCAACGAGTACCAACATAAAAGCGTCACATTTTCAGGGAAGTTGTCTTTGACTTGACCCTAGTGATCAGCCTGAACTCATGCTTCTCAAGCACTCA